ATTCAACTAAGCGCGGGTAAACGGCGGGAGTAACTATGACTCTCTTCTGGTAGCCAAATGCCTCGTCATCTAATTAGTGACGCGCATGAATGGATTAACGAGATTCACACTGTCCCTGTCTACTATTTAGCGAAACCACAGCCAAGGGAACGGGCTTGGATATTACAGCGGGGAAAGAAGACCCTGTTGAGCTTGACTCTAATCTGTTTATGAAAAGAGACTTGAAAGGTGTAGTGTAAATGGGAGTAGCAATACGTCAATGAAACACCATTACTTTCATTGTTTCTTTTCTTACTCGGTTAAACAGAAATTGGATTTATTCCAGTGTTTGAGTGACAAATGTTTACTTTATCGTAAGCATGATCTGCTTCGAGGACATAAACAGGTGGGGAGTTTGGCTGGGGCGGTACATCTGTCAAATGGTAACGCAGGTGTCCTAAGGCAGACACCGTGCACCCAATATTAAAACCCAATATTAAAATCACTTGTAAATACTAATTGGCCTCTTTATAGATTTCTGGAGACGCTCGTTTCAATGTTGTACTTCGTAAAATTCAGGAAACTTCCCGTTAGTTTCACCAGCACCTTGGCCGTTATATGTTATAAGCCAAGTTACTAAACTTCGGCGGAGTCTTGATGAGTTTTAGCTAAAATTTTTATTTTATTTTATTTTTTTTATTGATTATGAGCTTGAGCTTTTCTGCTTGCAAACGATTTGTATAAAACAGCATCACTAATCGTGAAGTAATAGATCGACCCTGATGGTAAGGCGAATCCATCACATGCTCTTCACAATTTGTGATATTATTTTTCAAATCAACGCATTTTTGATAATAACGTTACTTTTGTAATGGACTGATATATTATGATATAATACAGTAAAGTCAAGCTTATTCTTGTTGCTGTATCATGTCTTGAAAGAAACTGTTGTCTTCATTGACACATATCATGACCACTTTTTCCTTCGATGATCGTTTTCCACGGGAACTTTGTACAATGTAAGGTTAAGCAAATTCAGAATCGGAGCGGTATTTATTTTTTCAATTTTATTGCATAGGTAGATGCGGCTCGTCGAGCTGAATCTAACCATGTAAAACGTTTTCAAAAAAAGTTGTTTTTTGCCGTCGAGACAGGCAAAAAACTGAAAGGAGTGCAGGCTCGAAAAAAGGAGCCTGTTTCAGGAAAAGGCCTGCCGTTTTTTTACGCTTTGACCCAGAGCTGGGCGAATTTCTGTTACATGGAAATTTTCAGTCTGTGTAGTATTCTATGGGGCACTTAGAATTGTATGTTACTAAGTAGAATAGAAGAACATTTTTATGGCGTATTAGTAATGCATTATGAGCATTAATGCATTATATTACGATTTAAGTTGTAGGATAGAGTTGACTGGAATAGTAGAACAGTAGAATAGTAGAATAGCAGAATAGTAGAATAGTAGAATAGTAGAATAGCAGAATAGTGTTTTTTATCGGGTACAGCGTAAACTAGCAGAGATACTTATATATCGAATGAAAGGTGATTTTAAGTGGACATCAATGGCATAGTGTTTTGTGATAAAGAAAGTAAACATTTTTTTTAGAAGGTAGGATTTTGAAAGGGCTTTGGAAAATCTGATCGGAGTTGCAGTATTTGAAATAGGAATGTATTTGTCGTTTTACAAAGATAAATAGTGTCCAGTGTCCTGTAAAAAGTGAAAGCGTCCGAAGTCTTCATCTAGCATGGTTGTGGCGTGGCATGGGTTTCCTTGTAGCCTATTTATCTATGTAAACAGCAAAACCATTGCTGTTTTAAGGCTTGAAACTGCGAACGGATTTTGCAGAGAGCTTTTCAAAATCCTACCTTCTGAAAAGAGTATTTACTTTCTTTATCGCAAAGCAGTATGCCATTGACGTGCATTTAAAATAAGGTTTAAGTTGATATATAACAAATATAGCTCTGTTGTTTTATGCTTTACCCCCTAGAAAACATTTGTTGGATCCGGATAGTATAATGAGCTGGTGTATGTCTGTTACTTAGTGGCTGTGAAGAACATGTACACATGGCAGGTGTTATTTAAAAATTTCGTTATATCAGTCTGAGTGCTTCATCCCCATCCTGGAGTCGAGTTTTTTTGTCGTATGCGCTAATTGGTACTTGGTAAATGATATCATGTTTAAGATTTAAAAGTAGATAGTGAATTAGTAATATCTTCAAGTTTGTTGCTTGTCAAATGCCAAGAAGTATACAAAAGAACAAGTTTTTAACTCATGATTTAAAGATATTCACTTAAAAAGTAAGGAAAGTATAAAATTTGCACATAGAGTAAATTAATAACTTTCAAAATCAGAATCGTTAGAACTGTCGTTAGCGTTGCTTGTGGCTGAGATCAGTGGTGCTGCTAATGCTCGTGTCATTTCATCGACAATTTGAGCAAATGGATCAGTGGCCTAAATGGAATAGGTTTTTAAGGTTGTAAGAAAGTGTTTTGATATAACATACATTTTCTTGTCGTATTTTCTTGATGCAGGGCTCGCATGTGTTTGATATTGAACTTGATAGTTCACGTTTACTGACACTCCAGCTCAATTGTGGATCTAAAACATAATAAATGTTTATTTGTCTTTAGAATCGCATGTTCATACCTAGAACAGAACCGTTCAGTAATTCTGCGGGCATTGAAAGGTCTTCTGTACGTGCTAATTGCGTCTCATCGTACATTAAATCTATCAACGGATATGATATTTTAATCAGTGCATTATTGTATGGTGTCTGTATGACGTTCGTATTAGCACTTGTTTCAGTAAAATCAATAAGTGATCTTTGATCGCTTTCCCATTTCAGCGTGACCTTTAATAATTCTTCATCTGGGAACTCATAACAATGACATTCAATTGAAGGCCCTCCATTGATTTGTTTTTCTGCATCGCTCATACATATGGTTTGATCAGCATTAGAGAAATCATGTTTAATCCAATAGTTGAGCGACTGGGTCTTCTGAACAGACAATTGGCGAAGAGTCACTGCACGATTGTAACTTTGTCGTGCACGCTCAATCTGTGCGGGAGTACATTCACCACATTCAAATGACATACTCGAACTCATCTCAAAAGGACGAAAGAACAGTAAAGTAACATAAAACTGTGAACGATCCCAACTTTATTCAAGAATGTTTCTCAATATGTAACTGAAATCCAAATTGAAAATAATAAGTAAAATTTTAAACAGCAAATTTAATTTCACTACAACTTTATTTTTAAACGTTCACAATTTAACAGCTGAAATAGAAATAAATAAAAAATCTGTGATCGTTCCCCGGCAAACGAAGATAATGAATTGACATACTGTTTTAACACACTGTTCAGTTGCTAGCAGACTTCTGAATTAACACCGTTCATATTTGTATTTCTGTCAATGTTCATTATCGTTTTACAAATGTCCCTTTTATGATTTTTGCTGTGCATTCTATCTATGTACAAATGACAACTGTCGATAAATTCACTGTATTTTGTGTGTTTTATCGTTTTTGTTTCGTGGAATCGTTTTTTAAAGTATAAGTAAACAGCACAAGCGTTATCATAGATAAATATGGATGGTAAACGGCGAACATCATCAATTTTTTTGAGCATTGTCAGCCAGTGATGAAGCACAACGAATACTTGTTCACTAAGATTAATGGGCATAAAATCTACGACGATTCCGCAGTTTAGTGCAGTAAATATAACTCCGTAAGATGTTGTTGACCCGTTGCGCATACGAGGCAGACGATCGACATTACAGGTAAAATCTTGAATATATTCTCCATCATTTCTTGAGGACGTAATTCCGATGTCACGGCATTCTTGACATGTTGGTGGTTCTCCTTGGCTTCTTTCACCATAGACGTCGTTTGTATTGGTTCGTTGCCGTGGTTTTGCAGCTGGACGATTTGCGCAGCCGAGCTGAATGAAACCGAGTTCCTCGCTAACCACACCCCGATTGTGGTTTGAACAAATATAAATGCTCGGCTTTTGAAAACCGTCAGTTATAAATGCAGTTGAGCAGAGATGTATACAGGAAACAATGTGTCGATGATGAACCCAAAAACGTGTAAAATGTCGATTCAACTCGTGAAATGTCATTGTTAGCCATTTAATCATCTTTGAATGATGCCTAAAACAACAAAGATTAAGTAAAATCCCTGAGGAGAACTGTATACTAACATTAATGGTGGTAATTCGACGAAATCAACTTTCTTCAAAAAGAAAATAATTTGTATATATTGTTGAAGAAACCAAATCTCCATAATTCTCTTTAGATACAAATTACCGTTTCCTATTAGTTTGTTCATATTTCTGCTGAGTGGATCGATTATGGCCATCGTTCGGTTGTACGCTTTTGAGAAATTGTCGAAAGCCGAATACATGCATAAAATCGACGATGTGAGTTGAATTAGCAACTTTTTATCATAAATGTACCTTCCACCCAAATAGAGATACGTATACGGAGTGTTCGTATAACTTTCATATGTGACGAATTTCCGACCGTTTTGGATATAAAAATTAGAATAATAAACGATAGAGCAGCGTTTACATCGACCCTTCCAAATTGTGGCAGGAATTCTTCGCTGAATTTCATAACACACAACATATTTCACGTCTAATAAATCAATTTTCGTCGAACAATGGAGACATATGCAACAAAATGGAAATAGTTGCAATTGATTAAATGATGTAGATTGACGGTAACAGGAAATTGCGTCAGACAGACGTGTTTCATCGTAGAAATGATAAATTTTATTCGTTTTTATTTTTGTTAAAATTTGTTCAGTATCATAGACGGAGTGTAAACGATGATTGTCATTTAAGCAATATTTGTTGAATATATTCATAATGTGTAGACATCTCTTCGGATCACGTAGAGGAATGAGTCTTTCGAGTAGCTGTAACACTGTTAACATTTCTATAGGAAAATTGGGGAGAGTGGCGAGGAGACGTTTGTCATTATCTGCGGCAGTTGTTGTTTCACGAGCAACTCTATCCCAAAGGCTGCCGAAAGGATTCATCTAAAAGATGGACAACTGGATTAATGGCTGTTGTGATAATGATAAATAGTGCAACCGCGAATATTAATAAAATAAATAAAGTATAAGTAAAAATTCAGAGAAATTTATTTCAAAATGGAAAAATGGCCAGCATCATAGTGGCAGAATTTTACTGATAGTAGACCTGAAACTGTTACGGGGATAAAAATAAAAAAGACGAAAAACTAGAGAGTTAATGACCGGGGACAAGTTACTTTTTCGTTGGGCGACGTGTCCGCTTTGCAACGTGTGCAGACTGTTCTTCTGGCACCTGCTCTGACCTGTAAACATCAGCGTTGGTTGCAATAGTATTTTTCGACACAATTCTCTATGCTGACATTCACTGATAATCTTGAGGGCATGTTCTTGCAAATCAATTTCGCTTTGATTCAAATCATTTGCCGAATTA